ATACTGAAGCAGTACGATCATCCGAACATAGTCAAGCTTATCGGTATTTGCGTTCAAAAGCAGCCGATCATGATCGTGATGGAATTGGTGCCTGGTAAGATGATCTTGTTGAAAGAACACCACGCTGTATTACGCTAATATTTAACCCGAATGGCTGTCGCGCGCGAGAAGAATTAAAAAATCCGCGATCACATCTACGAGCTACGATAGTCTGACATGCTGACGTGCTAACTTTAGGTGGTTCGTTACTTACGTATTTGCGGAAAAACGCTAGTACAATAACACAGCGGGAGCAGCTACGTATGTGCAAGGATGCCGCGGCTGGTATGAGCTACTTGGAATCTAAGTATTGCATTCATAGAGACTTAGCCGCTCGCAATTGCCTCGTAGGTAAATAAATTCGCATTTCGATCGTTTCGTCCAAGTCGAAGGCCCGACAAGCAATATACAATGTTCGAATGCGATATGTTCCCCAGGATACGAGTGCATAGTCAAAATCTCCGACTTCGGAATGTCGAGGGAGGAGGAGGAGTACATAGTCTCGGACGGTATGAAACAAATTCCCATCAAGTGGACCGCGCCAGAGGCTCTGAATTTCGGTGAGTCTCTTTATAGCAAGTGGCCGTTGTATTATTATTAAACATACGAATGCGCGTCTCAGGTAAATACACGTCTCTCTGCGACGTGTGGAGTTACGGGATTCTGATATGGGAGATATTTTCCAAAGGCGGCAATCCGTACAGCGGTATGTCGAATTCGCAGGCGCGCGAAAAGATAGACGCAGGTGAGAGAAATAGACGGAATAGAATTGCAGATCGATATTAATGTGTACCAGCGAATTCAGCGTATACATCTGACTTGATTACGTCATTTAGGGTACCGAATGCCGGCTCCGGACGGAACGCCCGACGAGATTTACCGATTAATGCTGCGATGCTGGGAGTACGAGCCGGAGAAGCGGCCGCACTTCGATCAGATATACACCGTGGTCGAGACGCTGTCACAAGCGTATCTATGAGTATTATGTTAAGAGTATTTTATATACGAAGTAAGAAGTACGAATTGGTGCTATAGTATTTTTAAACACTTATTTTATATCACTGTATATTTTTTTCGACAAGCTACAAAATCCAATGACAATTGCCTGGGAGACGTTGGAGCCTTAGAAATACGAAAGAATGCTCACAACCAAATCGTACTTTATCTTGTGACTATACATATCTGGTCGTATACGTATCTGGGTATAATATAAAACGTACCGTTGATCGCCATCTGTGTACGTTGTTCCAAAATCGTGTTGATGTAAATGCCATCGCTCTTTTTATTCGCCATGTTTAATTATTACGTTTTATAAATTATTGTGTTTCTCCGTCCACGTAATTTTCAATTGAATTTACAGCATAATAATACTGTTATCACTTTCATATAGTATTTGAATATATATTTAACTTTATTGTTATGTACTTGCAATTATGACGCAATATGTAGGCTTTATTTATTCAGTTCTATTGTCATCCGTGTGTTCTCTTCAATATTTCGTAGTGTCTTTTTTTTGGTGTACATATAATAATCGTATGTATATCAAATTTTATAGGCGCGTATTTGAATCTTGTTTTTGTGTATATTTATTGTAAATTTATTGTCTTTTACGATAATCAACAGCTCAGTAAAAACGTCAGAGATCTTGTACATAAAAGATACATTTGCGATTTTACGTACGTTATAATTTTTAGTAACATTTCATCGTATTTAATAGTATATTTTTAAGTAGCAATGTATTATGCCGTACATTTCGATATGTTAATAGTGCTCGGATGCATTCGCGTTTACAAATGTATTTCGCGCAACTCACTAATCTTTCTTTGCGAGCCACTAATTGTGCAAAAATGTGCTTTTTAAATATTGCAGAAAACGTTGACTGTCGAATGCAAGTGCACTGAATACTATTAATGCAGTCGATCGTACGATTCTGACCAACTATGTTATTGTATACTCTCATTCAATTAGATACTAAAAGGCAATCGGTAATTATATATTCGCATAAATTGAATTCCATTCAACGAGCATATTGACAATACGTAAAATTATGCAACATCAATTCCAACTATATTCTGTCACCTTTTTCTTGTATATACACGATAAATGTGTAAAGGAACTAAACAATTCACGAGTATTGAAAGATTTGTAATATCGAATCTCATTGAAAAAGGGATAACGTAATGTTACAAAAAGGCTATGTTACTGGTTTTAAGTTTTCAGAGAATTTATTCTTATATAAACGGTTGAACAGAGAGAACTAGAATTAAGCACCTTGCAGTATGGTATTTTAATTATAAGATTCTTTTCCCACGGTAATTTTGTATTCATTATTGCTGTGCAATGCGTAGATAAAAACAAGATGTAAATGTGTGTGTATCGTTTGTACTATAAATGTATAAAATTTAAACGTTATAACATCCAACGCTCTTCGAAAGTTAATAAATCAAAATTCTTTAGATGCACTTCATCACACGCATTCTTGTTTAAAATTACAAACATTACACGTAATCATAAGCAGTCTTTTCTGAATAGATTGTACGAGGTATCATAATGAAGAAAAAAAATATTACGTTGTAATATAATTTACCTAAAAGTAGTTTATTGCCTGTTATCGCGTAGAATGTGTGTAATGGAATGAAAGACGCTTATTTTGTTTCCATATACAAATACTCAATATTTCTGTGCAATAAATTAATAAAGACGTTGAGCCTAAGATGATTAGAAATATAAAAGTATACATTTCGACATTTCTAATTATCTTAGTTTTCATATCGCAAGCAACGAGTCATAAATTTTGCATTTTTATATTAAAATTATAAGTACAATTTAATGAGTTCGTCGCTGACAGCCGAGGGCGTGAGAATTCCCAAGTCGGTGAATAATAGGCTGATGAAATGAGGCGGAGTGTAATCCACCAAGGGGTGTTCCTTTCTTAAATTATTGTTCAGAGTACTGGATGTATACTGCACAAACAATATTACATATTTACATATCTCATTTGTGTGCATGAGAGTTATAAAATTAGGTCATTTCAAAAGTCCTTCTTTCGCGTATTTTTTACAAATATTTTTTGTTTTAATCGCTTCATATTTGATTTAAAAAATTCAATGGATTTTAAATTAAATAAAAGAATGCAAAGATTTTTGAAATGACTTGATACAAGTGTGCGATAATTTACCTTAAATTCATCAGGCAAATCCACCTGATTGAGCGGATAGATTCTCGAGAATTTAAAACTTTCTGTCAATACATAAAATGGTTTCTTCACCTCCTTTGCGCATATAGCCATTGTGTATGTGCCTATCTACAAAGTGGATCAAGAGAAACATTTTTAGATTCTAAAAGTTATACATTATTATTTAATTATACTTTATCATTAATATCGAAGTGTACCTTATTAATTACACCGCCGCTTTCAGCAACACCTTCCGCTCCAACCATTACCATATCTACTTGCTCCATTACGTAGCCCACAGCAGAGTCTAGAATCACTGTACACGATATTCCCATCTTCGTCAACTCCTCGCACATCTCTTCTCTGTGGAGATAAAACGCAAGGGCTGTTATAATTAATTATAAAATTAGAAATTTATTAAAGACAAAAAATCAGAAGACATGTTTTGCTACGTAACAAAAGTTCAACTTACCCACTATTGTCTGGTGATGACGATGTAACATATACTTCAAATATTTTATTACTTTCAACAGCTTCCTTCATTGCTTTCAACACTACTCTCGATTTCGAATGTGTAAGTATAGTCTGGTAAAGAAAAGTGTAATGAAAAATCGGAAATCAATTGGAATATTTGGTGTTTTTCATATTTATGCTTACAGAACCATCGATAATAAAATGTGCTGCTACTTTGGCCACTTTTCCTCGTGCTGCGATCAATTTCTCATAGAATACCTTGCCTCTGCCTAGCATAATTCCTTTGCATTCCGCGAATGACTAAAAGGACAAATACATCATTCTAATGTAAAGTGAATTAAAAACAAATAAATGTAGCCTCAAGAGTGAATGGAACTTATAATGAATGTTAATACTCTTACAGGTGTATCCAATGTCGCCAGTGTAATGAAACGGAGAAACAATTCACTTCCTGAGGCTATTGCGGTGACTGGAGTTTCTGTAGATCGCATAGCATCAATTGCATGTTGCAAGCAAACGCGAAGCTCTTGAACTGTTTCAGCTGCAAAAAGATTCTACTTTTCTTACACTTGATTGCAGCGATCAAAAAATTTACTTGATATGTGATACAATATATATTGCAAGATACAAATGTTATACATAACAGCAAATGTATGAATATGAGATACTTACACTTTGAGTGCTCCAATACCGTTAATAAAGTACTAATAGCGGCCATACCCGCTGATACATCCTTGTCGTTTTTTATAATATCATTAAAAAATTTACAAATTTCTGCAAGACATATTAAACATTGTTTTAGATCTATTTGATAAGAACTTACGATATGTTAACGTATGAAATATCTTTGCAATCTGTTTATTCGTAGCACATACCTTCTCTTTCCATGATTAAAATTCGTTATTTCTGCAGTTCACGTGTTTGAGAATTTATTGAATAGATATATGTATGTACAATGTTTAGGTTAACCTAAAAGTTGCATCAGCCACGCTGCACCACATTTAATCACACTGCACTGAAATCTACCCTACCTCATGCTGCTTACTGCTTGCGTCTCAAATCTGGCGTCGTTGATTACGTTCAATGGCTTAATTGCGTCGAAGCAATGCAATACAATGCAATACGTCCTACAGAAATTGTACAATATTTTGAAACCGTTATTTAAGATGAGAAGAATATCTCAGTCAATATGTTCTATCAATCTTATCTCGTTAAAGGTATGTTTATCTCGTGTATGTTTATTGTGAGTCCTCTACGTGTTCGTCGCAGTCGGCTATATACTTTTTCGCCTTCGTCTCATATAAACAAATTATATTTTATATTTATTATCACAGGTCCTACGTGTGCAAAAGAAGCTCAGTCTAGCACTTTTCAATATTCATTCGTGCGCCGCAAACAATTCTTTCCAACGCTTATTCGCAGCTGGAGGGAAACAAGTCGCACATTATTGCCGCGTTAAAGATTATAAAACGTGGAGTATAAAATAAAGAATATAAAGTATAATATCAATTCTCGGAGGATGTCGAAGGAAAAAGATCAAAATATTAACGTCTTCGTGCGTATCAAGTAAGTTGAACAACGGTTATTGCTTTTTTAAAATGAAACGTTGACTTTTATTAATATTAATGAAATTGTAGCAATTGGGAATCAAATAATATAATAGAAATGAATAATAAAGTTAATTTGATTTAACTCATTTACTGCCAGCCAGAAATTATTTATATTTTATTTTATTTATTTTATTTAATCCTTGCCTTGCGGCTTAGGATGGCTTCCGGTACATAATACATTATTCATTTAATACAAAATATAAAATACAATACAAAACAGATTGAATAAACATTGAATCCAAAACTTACAAAACTTACAACTTACAAACTTAAATCCTAAATCTAAATCTAAAACTAAATCTAAACTTTGCTGTAAAATTCTATTCTCCAGTCTAAAGATCTGACGATCTATAATCTAATCTCTCGCAGATCAACTAAGCTAGTAATAAACTCTGAAATAAGAAATTATTTATAAATTAATAAAGTAATTGTAACTGTTAATCCTTAATTACCTAATTAAATATCTTCTATGTTTGATTAATATTTTATTTAATTTTTTTTTGTAACAGGCCTCTAAGTAAGACGAACATATCGGAAAAATGTACAACAGCAGTAAAGATGATATCCGATACGGAAATAATGGTCTGCGAGCGATCGCAAGACAGATTCTCAAGGAACTTTACGTTTGATCGAGTCTTTGATCCCTCATCAACCCAAGTTGACATATACAACACAGTGATGAGCCCGTTGTTGAAGGAAATCATCGCCGGATACAATTGCACGGTGTTCGCTTATGGCCAGACCAACACCGGCAAAACATACACGATGGAAGGCGATCGCTTGAACGATCCGAATCTGCACTGGCAAAGCGACACGTCCGCCGGCATGATTCCCCGTTGCTTAAGCCACCTGTTCGACGAGTTGCTTTCAAAGAACCAAAATTATATCATCAAAGTTAACTACCTGGAACTGTACAACGAAGAGCTGTTCGATCTTCTGTCGAAAAACGACGATGTCTCGACGTCGAGGCTGATTTTGTACGAGGACTCGAAAAAGGGCGTGCTCACCATTCACGGCCTGGAGGAGGTGATTGTTCGCGACAAGTACGAGGCCTATGAGATCCTCAGGAGGAATTCGGAGAGACGGCAAACCGCGACGACTCTGTTAAACGTCAACTCGAGCCGTTCTCACACGGTATTTTCGATTACTGTACAGATGAAGGAGATTAGCAACAGCGACGAGCTGCTGAAGACGGCGAAGTTGAACCTGGTGGACCTGGCCGGCACCGAGAACATCAGCAAATCCGGAGCTGTTGACAAAAGGGCGCGAGAAAGCAAGAATATCAATCAATCTCTGCTGGCGCTCGGAAGAGTGATAACCGCCCTCGTGAATAAAGCGCCTCACATACCGTACCGAGAGTCGAAGCTTACGAGATTGTTGCAGGAGTCGTTGGGCGGGCGTACGAAGACGTCGATAATTGCGACTGTCTCGTTCGCCAACAGCAACATCGAGGAGACGCTATCGACGCTGGAATATGCGAATCGAGCGAGGAACATCACTAATCGTCCTGAGATCAATCAAAAATTGTGCAAGAAGCTGTTGCTGAAAGAATACACCAAGGAGATAGAAAGCCTCAGGAAAGATCTACTGGCGACGTCTACAAAAAATGGCATCTGCTTATCGCTAAACAACTATAATGAGTTGCAGATGTCGATGGAGTATCAGAGCAAGAAGATACAGGAGATAAATGGTACCTGCAAAATGTTAGAAGGTGAAATAAAGAACAAAGAGGTACGTTTATATTATAATTCAAAAATAAAAACAAACTGTTATATTTGAAAGAAAAGAATTTGAAAAAGTATTTATTAAATCGTACAAGCTTCTTGAAATTAATGTTTTCGCTAGGTAATCATCTTTCTACAGCTCTAAAAATATGAATTTAAGGCTTTGAATGAAACGTTTTGTTTATTTAAGGAGATCGAAATCAATTTTTACTATATAAACTACATTTTGATTACAGGAATGTATTCATAATCTACAATTGCAATATGACGTTCAAACAAACGTGTTAACAAAAATCACGAATGAAGTGTATGATATGAATAGCGCCTTGAAATTGACAAAGATGTATGTGAAACAGATAGAGGATGATAAAAACAAACAGAAACACCTTGTAGAGAAGTATATTGGAACCAAACAGATTTTGCACGCGCAAATGGGATCTCTTTTGAACGTGGTAAAGGAAGCATCTGAAGATGCGCGAAAGCTGCAGGACAAACTCGATTGTAAAAGGTAAATTTGCACAGAAAATATTACGAAAAAATTTAGTTCTTATTATATAAACATATAAACATAGAATGCTTTTGATCATTCTTTTTGATCGGTTAAAATTTAATATCAAAATTTATTGTTTAATAATTTTGTCGATTGATTTTCACTTTTAATAATAAAATTAACTTGTTAAAATTAAATTTATTGATGAAATTAATGCAGACAAATTGAGGAAAAAAATAAAATGCTTGTATGGCAGACTAGTGATGATTTGATGGAACGCTACACAGATATAGAAAATATACTTTCAACTTATAAAACAATTAGTGATATCTTTTTTCAAAAGATAAGAGATAAAATTGGTAAGCGTAAGAAATGTGATTAATTTTATGTATTTAACAAACGTTATATGTTGTGAGAATAAGTTTTATCAATCAATAAATTTTTTTTGCAGAAACTCAGATAGCTGCACAAATTAAGAATATGAAGGCGACAATTCGTTCCATGATCCGTGATGCAATTCATCAGCATTTTACTATAAGTAAAAATGTAAAACGTGAGATAAATACTTCGGTAAGTCTTTAGCAACACAAAATTTTAATAATACTTAATAATAACAATAGGAATTATACCATTTTTTTAACTATTTTAGTATGCATGCTATCGAAAGATGTTAAATACATATGTGCAAGATACATCTCGTACAATGAAGAACGGAACTGAATGTTTAAGTGACTTCCATTTGAATGCGGCATCGAATATGTTTGATTTGTTGAAATACAACGAGAGTTTTCTACAACAATTACAGATCTTAAAAATGAACATTCTTCAGAAAGTAGACAGTGTGTCAGAATATGCGAAATTTGTCTTAGAAGCTGTCTGTGAAGATCACCTTGAAGAATGTAATTATCTTCGTAAAAGTTTAACCGAGATTAGAGAGCATATTAATTGTATCGCTCAAAACAAAAAGCAAACCATGGAAAATTACAAAGAATTCGGAAAGGTATACTAAATGTTTTATCATATATTAAAATATCTTATGTAATTGATGTTATAATGTCATGAACTATCTAATGAAGGAATACAAATTTCTATTTATATAGGAAATGGAGAATTTGCTGTGCAAATTCAGGCCCTTAAATGAACATGACAGAAATTCCAAAATTATTGATGCGTCTTGTCAAATTGATGAGATTTGCACTAACATATACGATCACACACAAGTTTATAGCGTAGACATGAATAAACAAAAGCATTTGAAAAACTCGCTAGAAAATATATCCCAAGCCAAGAGCGATATTGATCATAATTTTGACCAGGTAATGTAAGCCATCCATTGCGTTCATAAAATTTCTCAAATTTCTACAATTATATATTAAAACTAAAAAATTATAACAAATTATATATTATTGCTTAACTAATTGTTTTTTTTTTTGTTAAAAGATGCATATGATGGGTACAATTACTATCGAAAAAGGAAACGTTTTAGTGAACGATTTACAAAAACATCTAAATACTAGTTGTACCACATTAAAGCAATATAACAATAACGTGCGATTTAATTTAGAGCAATTACAAGAGAAAATGGAAAAAGATAAAATTGTAAAACTTAACTTAAATAATGTATGTACATATTTATATACTTAAAGCAACTTTACAATTAATTTCATATTTCCCAATATTTTACTATATAAATAATCATTATTTTGTTTAATATTTGTTTAACATAGACTATTTGTGAAACGGTCAAAGACCTGAATTTAAATCATGTCACATTTATGGAACAGCAGCAGCATAAAATTTCAAATTTATGTAAAAAGATAGACGACGAATTAACAATTCATGATATAGAAACACATAATTGTAATAACGACATAATTGACAAACTACATATCTCACAACAACAAATCGACGAATTTTTGGTTGAAGATTCTCATCATTACATTCCAACAGGTTAATTTTTTTATTTATTATTTTATTCTTTTATGCAGAAAAATAAGCGAATATGCTAGAATAATACACATTACAAGATATCTCATTGTTCAAGTATATATTTTTATTTTTTTAAATAAAAAACAGATGTAAATTTAATACATCAAAGAATTCTTTTTAATATAAACGCTTGTATAATATTTATGGTGATTTGCTTTTATTTGATTTAGTTTGAACAATAAGATGTCTATTATGTAAGTCTTGTTCATAAAATGGAATTCTTATTTTCTTTTCACAAAAACAAATAGGCACAACACCGCCGAGAAAGACATTTTCTTATTCTCATCAATTTGCCACAACGTCGCCGTTATTATCATGGCCATCGAACAAATCATTTATAGATTCTGAGATTGCAGAAAACATAGGACAATTTTAATGTAAAATATAAAAGTTTTTACACATATAACAATGAGAATATCGAGCCAAGATTTGCTATAACAATCTTCTTTTATTAATATAAACGTTTCGGTCAAGATTTGACCATTTTTAGTGCGTTCCGTCAAAATTAAAAATTGTACAAAAACTAATTACGAAAAAAAACTAATACAAAAATTAATATTATCTTAAATTAAAAATCCATAATAAATCGGAAATTAAAAATTTATTAAAAATTGTTTTCTTATATGATTTTGTGTATAGATTTATTTATAAATTTAGCTAATGTTAATCAATTCCTTGATGTTAAGATTAAATTTATGTATGTATCACTTAAATAGGTTTTAAGAGCAACATATAATAAAAGTTGAGTGTGTAAGCATTACTACAGATTGTTTATCACTTGTTCGTTTTATCAAAATTGTTTTGCTAAAATCAAAGATGCTGCGAAATGTCACAAGATGTCAGCACTAAAAATGGAATAGAAAACATTCAGTTTATTCTTACTTGTCTTTACTATTTCAATGGTAGACAGATTTTCAGCAAGGTTGACGGTTATTTGGGCTTACAGTTAGCATGAATTAGCAAACCCACGGACCTGAGCTTAACACTGCAGCATACACACACACATATACACTTACTCTCACACAGAAACACAACCATTGTATCCGCTTCAAATCTCCACCCTCACCAGATCCAGATGGCCGTAAGAGGGGAGATCCTTCGGAGTGCCATTCGCCATTACATATCTACTCTACTCTCTACTCTCCACTCATCAAGGTTAAGTTGATCACGGCGTTTTACCACGCTGTTTTATCACGCTCTTAATTTTTGTGTTTCTTTCCGAATTAAAATGGAGTATGTTAAATAATTCCAAGATTTTTTTATCAAATATATTTTATTTAAAATTAATTGAGAGGAACCAGATCTTTTACTTAGAATATAATTTGAGAAGAAGACTTAACCTCGTTTAACTGATAACTGATAAAAATAAAAACTAGAAAGGAAAGAATATAAAAAGCAAATAAAGAGAGAAAAGAGAGATTTTTAATCGAACTAAAATGGAGTACATTCAACCTGCTGAGCAGCCAGAAGATAAAGTAATAATGTACGTATACATATTGTATATCAGATACTCTGATTAAATATCTAATGGTGCAGATCATTGACATGATTTTTTTCTTTGTTTATAGGATGTGTTGCGAATGTGGGACTTTAATTGAGCCAAATCCTTCTCATATGTGTGTTGGTTGCCTTCGTACTCATGTTGATATTACAGAAGGAATTCCTAAACAAGCCACCTTACAATTCTGCAGACATTGTGAAAGGTTTGATATTTCCCAAAAGTATAAATAATTTGGCAATAAATAATAATCAATTTCCTCAAATTCATATTACATTTCTTCAACAGGTATCTTCAACCACCTGCTGAATGGATTCCTGCAGCATTAGAATCCAAGGAACTCTTATCACTATGTTTAAAGAAATTAAGAGGATTGAACCAAGTAAAATTGATAGATGCCGGTTTTATATGGACAGAGCCACATTCCAAAAGATTGAAAGTAAATGCCATATGTGTGAAATTATTAAAATTGGAAATTATAATATAGAATATTTAACAAATTGCAGGATTTTAATTAATATTTAATTAAATCAATTGATTATTAATTCTTTTGTTCAAAAAACATTGATATTTGAAAAATTACAGTATTAAAAAGTATAAAAATAATTTGATTTTATCTATTAAATAAATCTACTTTAATTATTTTATGTTCTATATTCATATTTGACATTTTTCTCAGGTAAAGTTGACTGTTAATGCAGAAGCGCTTGGTAGTACAGTTTTACAGCAAACATTTGTGGTCGAATATGTTGTAGCTCACCAGATGTGTGACGATTGTCACCGTACAGAGGCCAAAGATTACTGGCGTGCATGTGTAAGTTCTTTTCACTTTGCACAGAGATTTTTTTTCAAGAAATTTGAATGCTATACATGATTTTCTCATATACATGTTACTTTTTACAGGTGCAAGTTCGGCAAAAAGCAGTAAATAAGAAAACTTTCTATTATTTGGAGCAACTTATATTAAAACATAAGGCACATGAGCAAACTCTGGGTATAAAACCTATTAATGGTAAATATTACGCTTACAATAGCTTTTATATTGATACATAAAAAATGTATAATTGTTTAAAATATTCTTCTAATGTTAACAGAGGGATTGGATTTTTTCTACATAAATGAAGCATCAGCTAGAAAAATGGTTGATTTTCTAGCAACTGTGATACCATGCCGTTATCAGCAATCAAAAAGATTGATTTCATATGATTGTCACAGTAATATATACAATTACAAATTTACATACAGGTAAGATTGAGAATTTACTGAAAATATACGACTAGCGTACATTTTGAGTTTAATATCATTATTTCATCAAACAGCGTTGAGATTGTTCCAATTTCCAAGGATAGTGTGGTCTGCCTACCGCGAAAGTTAACTCACCAGCTGGGCGGAATCAGTCCCATCTGCTTGGTACACAAAATTACAAATTCCGTGCATCTTATGGACGTTTCATCGGGACAAAGTAAGCCAGAACACATCAGCATAAGATTTTAATGATAGAAATAATTTAATGTTACACAACTGTATGTTTGTTTTAGTTGCTGAAGTCAGCTCGACTGTCTACTGGCGATTTAATTTCCAGAGTATATGTAATCCAAAACAATTAACAGAGTATATTGTCATGGATATTGAGCCATTAAAAGATGAGGAGAAAAAAGTTTTCCCGGGACAAGGATCAATTTCTAACAAAGTAAGTTTTCTTGTATAAAACAATTTGTTTATATTATTTAAGTTTAACATAATTGTTGAAAGAAGAATGCATACTTTTATTATTTGCAGTTAGATTTAGCATTTACTAATTGAGCAGTATATTTTCATAAACTTCCTTTCTGGTTAATTTTTCATAAAAAATACATTTTTATGAATATTTCAGTTTTTTGCTGTATGCGATTATATGCACATTTATTTGTATAACTTGAAAAATTTAACGTGTAATAAAAAAAGACACTAATCAATAAATAATTTTTAGCATGTCATAGCAGATGTGTGGTTAGTGAAATCATCTGAATTGGGAATAAATAATAACTCAATTCATACACGTACACATTTAGGGCATGTACTTAAACCAGGTGATTCAGCTCTTGGGTGAGTTTTGTGTGAAGTAATTTAAAACAAATCTATCGTATTTAATATTGAAGTGTTCTATATTTTTGCTATGTGACAAATTTTCGATAGAAAACAATTGTTCCTTTTTTAATATCCGTCTATTGCAGCTACACTCTAAAAGACACTAATATCAATGATGCGAATTTTGATAAACTAAGTGAAGACACGATACCCGATATCATTCTGGTAAAGAAGTTTTATGGCTACGACAAGGCAGCTCGTCGTAGAGCACGAGTGTGGAGATTGAAACATATTAATGACGAAGTAATCAGCATGAACACGGAAAATAAGTAAGGGACTACTATAAAATCCTACTAATAAAAACTCTGTCATCTTTTATATTGCAAATTGTCTCACAAAACAATTGTATTTTTCAGCGATTATAATGAATTCCTTGACGAACTGGAAGAAGATCCCGATATGAGACGAAACATCAATATATTCAGAGATACTGAGAAGCAAATTCCTGTCGATACTAACGAAATAGATCCGAGTATTCCGCAGATTACACTTGAAGAAATGCTGGACGATCTTGCGATCGACGATAGTTAAATTTAAGAATAATAATAGCATACTTTTAGAAAGATAATATTTTTATTGTAAGATAAAATTGTATGATAAAGTCTAAAAAATAGTATGATACTCTTTTAAAATACACTACTACTTCTGGACTTAAGTGATGGATTATTAACAGTGATACCTATTTTTATCTAGCTAATCAATTTATTATTTGAACTACAGTAACGGTTAATGAAATATACTCACCGAAATTATTGTTTTCTTTAAACTCTAAGGCAAAGTATACAAAACTATACAAAATCGTAAAATTTATATTAAAGGGCGTTATTAACGACCGATAATTTTGATTAGAACATTTTAGTTGAATTGTTTTAATATATTTTTACATATTTATAAAAATAGGACAATATACAATAGGAACAATGCTTGCTTAATAAATTTATATTTAAGTTTCAGACGTATAACAATAACAATTATAGGAACAAATAATTAATTATAACAATTATTAATATTTTTTAATAATAACTAATATTTTGTGATAATTGTGACTTTTCACTTTCGGTCATTTTTCAGTGATTTACCATTTTTATAAATACTGCACGACACTTTTTGAAAATAAGCTTGAACTAATTCCTAGCTCGTGTTAATTATCTATATATACCCAAATAAACCTCATTTAATTCTTCCCATCCTAACAGTACTTATCAAGGACAGATCATTTCGAAGAATCCTGCTGAATACATTCATTGATCACTACTGTAATAAAAATTTTATCTGGTCAAGTAATCAATTACTCGTTATATCTAGAGAATGTATTTCCATTATATCATTTATTAAAAATTAGAAAAATGTGTAACGAAATAAAATTGACAATATATAGGCAAGCATAAAACTGTTTTCTATTTATACTGGACAAAAACGTGTTTTGCGTATTTTTCTTACAGAGATTTATATAGAAATGAAATCCAATTAATACTTAACAATTAAAGTAAACACGTTTTTTTGGCACCGCAATACTGACCACGTGGGTCACGTGGCGTGCGGGCCAATTTTTTCACTAAAAGATTACCTGGAAAATTCTGAAAAAATGTTAACATATTCTTTGAAGTCTAAAGTAACATTTTATACCATAAAGTTTAAGAAAGAAAAAATAAATAAATGAATTTTGGTTCTTCTGAAAATCGATAAGTTAGAAACGGCCTGGACACGAATGACCCAGGTGTTCACTTTAAGCGTTAACAATGCGAATAAGATAAAAGCTTGTCAAGCTTGAACCTCATTTTACCATCGCTTGAGGGGACGTCGTTAAAAGTGGGGAATTATCTTGAAGATATATACGCTGACATCAATAGTAAAGTTACTGTGTGGTGCTGCAGTGATCCGGATTAAGTCGAATCAAAATGTGGTTGTGTAAATTACTACCGTTGGCGCTTTTCTTAAAAGTTGCAAACAGCAATGGAATCAGTTACGAAGGTACGCTTTGTATAATTACTATCAGTGTTTTAATGTATTATCTCGATAAGATCAGAGTTTTTTATAGTTTATCATGCAATTGATATACAACAAATATATTTGTAATAATATTATATTAAATATATTGTAAAGGCTCCGATAATTAAATATCAAAATTAAAATAAAGGAGTAAAAAAGACTAATGCCAATTGTTCGCAAAAACACGCAATTTTATTTCACTTGAATACGTGTTTTTGCAAGAATCACTGGCATCAGTTTTTCTCCTTTATATTTCAATTTTAAATATATTACTCTAAATACAATTATTAAATAAATTATTAAACAAACAAGCTACAGAGCCCAAGCTGGATTTTCGTGCTTAATTTATTGATATATTAAAATATTATAACAAATGTTTAGGTCAATCTAGACGTTTCGACCATCTGGTTGTGGTCATCTTCAGTAGTTAGTTATTATAAAATTCGGAACATATTAATAAAACAATCGTTACTTATAAAACTAATTCGGATATTACAATAATCTTCTTATATTCGTTACTTTTAAAATTGTTTAGAAGGACATCACTTGAAAGTCATGCCCCTTCTAATAACAGCAATCTTTAGATCATCAGGAAGGAAAACAATGTCGTGTTTTACATTAAACATACGCGATGTACTTTTAAGACTTGAACTGCGGTTGATTGCAATTATTCTAAAAACAGCATGAACCAATGTCTACTTTTATCTTTATATTACTTGTTATTTATTAAAATACTAAAAATATTCTTACCTCAATGCATAGCAGTACCGTTATGTTGTGTTTTCGTGTGTTAAACTTTCTTAATTTCAAAGTAACTAGATTGACCTCTAGATTGACCTAAACATTTGTTATAATATTTTAATATATCAATAAATTAAGCACGAAAATCCAGCTTGGGCTCTGTAGCTTGTTTGTTTAATAATTTATTTGAATAATCTGAGCCAATATTGTAATTTTAAATTACAATTATTAATTTCTCGGACTATCGTTTTTATTCAAATATATAATTTAAATTAATTTTTATATATGTAGTTATATAGCTTCCTGCTCATTTTATTGCAGCGGATAATTTTCGCAACTCCAATATCAATTTTAATGCCCAATTTTTATTTTGGTAAAAATATTGAGAAAGCATCAGTTATTACAATTCCTATTTTCATATAATTTCAAATTAAAATTCTATTCTAAAGTACATCTTGGAAATTCATTTTTAAGTATTTACTAAAACAAAATATTTATCAAACTTATGTAATACACTTATTACACAAGTTACATTACATAAGTTTTATAAAAAGTTTAGATAATTTTTGTTTATATTCAATATTTGTGCTATTGAAAGATTAAATCGAAATTATCAATTAAAATTACACAATCTTAACAGCAGAAAAGACGAAAATATGTTGATAATACTCATGTTAATCAAGCAATTAAATAAGATTATCAGTTTTTTATTGATCAATTGTAATCTGAATCTTGATAGTAAAAATTTATTTCATAAATATAAATTTTGAAATAAATTTTTGGAGCAGTAAAACAATTTCTTTCAAAAAACATCATGTATTTTTTAGTCGATTAATACATTTTATAGCAGAACTATATAAAATCATGTAATACACAAGTTATATTACATAAGTTTTATACCAAAGGTGGAAGATAATGAAACTATTTGCATTTTGCAGCTCAAATATCAAGTTTTTCCAACGAAATAGAGAACTGGGTAATATCTGGAGAAGAATCCGAGATATTCAAAAATTTTATTCATGATTTCGCTATTCCAACCAGTTTGCAACGTGACAGTTGGCGTAGTTTCACCGGTGAAAGAAGTGCAGGTGTTTGCACAATATGTCGATCTGTCTTGAAGGCTTTTCTAAAACTTCGCAGACAAGGCATGCCAGAAGACACTCTAAGAAGTAAAGGGATTCGTTTTTGTACTGCGATGAACATTCAAACCGAACGAGTCTGCGTTGGTGCGATAACTCTCCATTTGGTAAATACAATACTCTGACAAAATAATGTACAATTAAAAATTTATTTAGCCACATAAAAATCTTTCTAAATATCACATAGTGTTAATTCTACATTTTTCATCCAAATTTTTGCTCGCAGCCAACGATTCTGTACATCGTAGATGCAAAACCGAATCTGACAGAAACCACGATTTGCGGAGTTCTGTTGGAATCACAATCTTGTCCGCTTACTGACGATGAGTATAATTGGACAATCACCATCGACAATGATCCTCCGACGCCAGTTCAACCAGAAGACAGCGATGATATTATAAATATAGTGCACATAACGGATATTCATTACGATCCCAATTACGAACCTTACGGCAATTCGGATTGCGGGGAGCCGACGTGTTGTCGAAGAGGACAAAACGATACGAATGTAAGTGGCAAATTAGCGGGCCACTGGGGAGATTACAACTCTTGCGACAGCCCGTGGCATACCGTTGTCGACGTCTTGGATCACATTAAGGCTACGCATGAAGTACGCAAAAAATTCATCATTTATATTATTTATATTATCGAAATGCGTGCACGCTGCTTTGATCATTAATACTTGCAGAATATCTCCTACGTTTATTTCACTGGTGATATAATAGACCACGGCGTTTGGGAAACCTCTGTCGAGGCAAATATGAAAAGTCTTAACAAAAGCTATCACCAAATTTACGAAACATTCCGAAACATCCCTGTGTACCCCATTCTGGGCAATCATGAATCACATCCTGTGAATCAGTATAATCTCTTCAAATTTGTTTTATTATTTAATATTTTCGTATTCTGCAATTAAGTACTTTGACAAATCTCTCTTAGATTTCCACCTACAAGTGTCACTGCCAGCGAGATAAATATACAATGGCTATACAATATGATGGCTGATTTATGGATTAATGAGGGATGGTTACCGGAATCTACTCGTTCCACCATTCTAAAAGGTGGATACTACACCTTTTCGCCGAAAAAAGGATTTAGAATCATCGCCTTGAACAATAATGTGTGCTATTGTGACAATTGGTGAGTGACGAAAGACAATTGCTTATATGTCATGTGTGTAATCTCTTTTAGCTATGCTTTATGTATTTGCTTCGTTTCTTTCCTCACCTTTTATTGCAAAAAAAGTAGACAGGATGATCTAAAAAAAGAATCGTAGAATCTAAAGACAAATAATGAAAAAACATATAAACATATAATGTAATCGATAACAATATGTAGAGATTTATCTGGAATAATTACTTATCTTGCTAACATACTTGTGCGCTTGATGTTATCAATTTAGAATATCAACAAGAAAGATAAATATTGCATTAACATTGCATGCTATGTATTAAGATTCGTACGCAATTGCAAGTTTCACAAATAAGATAAACTGTCCGATCAAAACAAGGATTGATAATGGAGATTTTCAATAGATATAGATTGTCTTATTGATATGATAAAAAAATCTTTTAACATATTGCGCTAATTAAATATGCGTATCAAAAATCAAAATATATCACAATGTTTTTTTTGGTTGAGATTATTACAGTATAATTATTATCTTCAACGTTTTATCTTTTATATTACATTATTGCAAATTTCTATTGATTGCACACTGTCGTCTACTTTATGTCTCTAAATTTGTCGAGTCTTTTTAAAAATAATCCTGTATTCACTTTATCTTAAACGAAAAAAAGTGTAAATTAAATAGATTTATCATCTAACATGATTGATTTAATTTTCAGGTGGTTATGGTATCAACCAAAGGATCCTGAAGGCCAATTACAGTGGTTAGCCGATACGCTTCTGCAAGCCGAAAAGAACGGCGAGCTTGTGCACATATTAGCGCACATTCCAGTCAGCAGCAATGAGTGTCAAAGCACGTGGAAAAGAGAATATCTTAAGATTGTTGACAGATACGCCCATATTATTCGGGCCCAATTTAACGGCCATACACATAACGATGAATTGCAGTTGTATTACAGTAGCAGCAACAACACGAGGATTAATAATGTGGCCTGGACTGGTGGTAGCGCAACTGCTTTCTCGAAATTAAATCCCAACTATAAAGTATATGCTATTGACAGTAACAATTATGTAAGTATTATATCGTTTCGAAAATACGTGTAACATGCAGCATATTTAAACATTCTATTAACATCTGCACGATGAAACTATTATAGTTGGTGAAGGACTTTGAGAACTGGATATACAACTTGACTTTGGCAAATGAGAACGCTGATCAGCATCCTAAATGGTACATGTCGTACTCATTTAAAAAAGAATATAATATTTCTGACTTGTCATACGATTCATTAAACACTTGGTTTACTCGACTAACAAATGATGAGAATCTACTAAGCAGCTATTACAGGTAATGTTACAGAAAGTTTTGAAATACTGTTCGTCAAATATTCTAATTCGATATAATAATTGATTCAGGCACTTTTTCAAACTTGCCGAACCATCGCTGAGGAAAGAATGCGATTCGAAGTGTATGAAGACTTACACGTGCCGTATAATTGCATGTTTAGAACCTAAGTCACATTGCAATTAAATGTGAACATTGTATTATCTCAAATATTAATCATATGTAACGATTTAATTTCATGTAGTATTATCGCAATGTAATGCAGTGAAAATGTTGCAGAAAGAATAACATTTTATAAAAATTTCAAAAATTTTCTACATTTATTACCTACTACATTTTATACGACTTTTCATATTATTATATTTTTCTAATTACAAATATATATTTCAACATTCTTTATCTATAAATTATATTTATGAACTATAACAATTATCGAATTTTGCGTCTTTATATTTCAATTTTGACAATTATTGATGCTTACATAAATCTTTTATGTCTATCAATTTAAAAGCAGGGTTTTTAACATTTTTAATTAAAATTTCATGAGATGGTAAGTTGTCAAATAAACAAATCTGAAAAGTATATGAAAAACAAATAACATTTTTGTAAAATACAGCTGTAAGAAAATGTGGAAAACTAGTTCAATCGATAATAAAATGTCACTAGCTTAAAACTCACCTGTTTTCTAATATAAATAATAAGCGTTTCAACATGTTCTGGATTGTGGCCTTCAAAATTGAAGAATCTCCTCCACAGTGCTCCTGCCAATACTTTGTCGTCAGATAGTATACCTTCATCGTAACCTATTATAGCGGCATTGAATTGATCCGATAAATCTTTGATTTGTTTGTGCTTAAGTTTACCGCTGATATTCTATAATAATAATCATTATTATATATATGTACATGTGTTATTTCAAAATAATCACAAATTATGAGCATTATATATACAAAATAAAATATATAATATTCATATAGAAACACAATATATTAAAATATAATAATACTTACGCCAAGGTTTTCTATCCTGGCATTTGTATCTTCCCACATTGCTGATACTATATTATTTCTAATCAATTTTCCATTTTTACCTTCTGCCATGTAGCGAGTCATTGCCATCCATACATGAAGTTCTGTCACCAGAAACCACGAATAAAATGTATCTGCCATGTTAAAATCTGTTGAGAATACAAAATGTATGAGTTAAGTATATAACTATTGTAATATAAAATATATAAGCATGCAAAGCAATGTTTATTAACTATCTTTATTTGTATTAACATATGAATAAATATTTAAATAGCTATTCTAATCAATAAAACAGTATTTCATAAAATCTGAGCATAACTTTTTAGAACTAAAATTTATATATAAAAAAAACTAAATTTATATATAAAAGAAACTATATTTATATATAAAAGAAACTAAAATTTATATACAAAAATAACACAAGAAATTCATATTTTATAAACCACCCTTTTATATTTTGAATTTTATTATATAGCCATCACAAAAGAATTGTAACATCTTAGATAAAAATAGTGAGATTATTTTTGCAATTTTTTGACCATAAAATTAACAGATAATAATTATAACAATATTTGGTTGATTAAATATCAAAATCAAAATTAAGAGAGAACAATTTTTATCAACATTACATTTAAATACTTACATTTAAAGAAAAATTGATAATCTATTTGTTTCAATATATTTTCATATACAGAATAACCAATTGCTATATTTTTCTGAAATTAATAAATTAGTAAGTTATTAGTATTAAATTTAAACACATTTCAGTAGAAATTTAGAGTATTTTTATCACTGAGAGAACAAATATTACGTATAATAAGTGTTCAATTGTATGCACTACTGTTTACATGTTTAAAAGCTTAATGGAAAAAAATGTTCAATTACATATTTCTGCATGTCTACAAGACCAGTTTTTCTTAGTAAGTTTCCAAAAGGATCCATCGGTCGTGCATTCTCAATTACAGACGTGCAGTGTACAGGCATCGTATGAATACTTTTAGATTCCAATAGGTGCATCGCAGAAACTGGCAGCAGCATTCTGACAGCATCAAGATCTCCATGAATTTGGAGTGTTCTTTGTGTTAATCTTAACGTCGCGTTCTGAAATACATATTTATTAGTAAAATATGTGTACATAGCTCTTAATAAAATAAAGTTCAATTCTAACTTTCATAAAGAATGACTGTAACAGAGAGATTTTGAAACACGTGATTACAGAGGTTATATTAATAATTTTCATGGACACGAATACCTTTAATGTGGGAAACATCCAAGTGTATTGCGCGACGAACATTTTGATATAAATATCCTAGTTATGCTCGCGCCGGCACATGGAAGAAGATGATACATTAACAGCGACGAGCCTGTACAGGTACAACTAAAGTGCTGCCTATTTACTCTTCTGCCAAACGGTAAAGCAGTGAACTTTCACAAGTAATGGACGTCGCGATATGACAGAGCTCGTCAGCGCGCAATTTAAGCAAAATTGCTTCGCTATACAAGCATAGAGTTAGGTTTTGTCATACAAATTCGTTACAGCCGTAAATATTCTTCCGAAATCGGTTGATGTTCAAACGATGAGTATCGATATTGGTAAGTAAAATGAAGGAGAGACCTCCCTCGTTGGTCCTCATTGTTGCATTTCCGACATTCGGGTACATAATTTGTTTCCAGGAATTTTTCCACCGATTTGATGATCCTTTATGCTTTTTAAGGATAACCAGAATAGGCTTCATCATTCTTTGTAAGTGCAGTTTGAGCTTCAGCTTAGGTATGCGATTTATACCAGATGCATTTTTCGTACTATGTGGGTTCAAGCTTAAGTCTGTAATGCATGGAATGATTTCTGTGGAGTTGCATTTGGAATCTTTGTTCTTCTTTGAGGAGGTTTTTATGTGACATCGCAAAAGTGTTTATCTGTTGATATTATGATGTATACATTCAGTTTGAATGCCTTGCAATTAATGCAGGAAAGTATAGAAATTATTAGAAGTAATTGAACAGTGTCAATTATTATTCTACTAAGTTCTAATAATTTCTATTGAATATTAAACAAAAGCATTACAGATGCATCATAGGATAGATTTTAAATCACAATTGCATTGACTTTGCCTTGAAAATTCTATGCACTTGGTTGAAGTATAATATGTACTTTTAGAAAATGAAATCAGTAATGATCAAAGACAAGACAAAAAAGAAAAGTGAGACACTGAAAAAGATAAAGGTTTCCTCCAGGAACATGAACAATAGTCCTGATTTGTCTATTTTGCGCAAGCCAATTGATACAAGTGCATCTGATTTGTACCAAGTCTCTCAGCTTCTAAAAAGCGGAACAGACGAGGTTAAATCTATATTATCCTATGAATGTAACATTATATACGAATGCCGTACTTGCCGCAGCTTATTTAGAAGCATTATAAATCTGATATCTCATAAAAGAGAGTATTGTAAAGAGAAATTTGATGTTGCATTTGGCAAAGACATATGGAACAATTCGGTAAGTGCAGTATAGTAGCTCATATTACCACTGTTGTGAATTGTAATGTTTACAAAGATATTCTTTGTTCTAGCATAAAGAATCAATAATCCATTTGTACAAAACAGAGCAGACAATAAATAAGGACGACACTAGTGTTAAGAATGACAGGATTCTCAGGAGCCAATCTAAGGAGGCAACTAAAAAAGATCTCAGTACAATAGTAGATATGCTCAGCAAGAAAAGGAAAGAGGAAAATGGGGAAAGCCATTTCTCAAGTGAAGTAGATGTGGATAATGCAATCTCTAGCACTCCAACTAATCCACATATTTATTTAGAACCTATAAGCACAAATTGTTCCGCAATGTATCAAACTGTTAAATCATCAAATACAGCAGATAATGTGGACTTGATGAAAGTACAAGTAAGTGTTGTTTCATCATTTGATCTTTTTTACTTATTGTTGTCTGAAATTGCATATACAAGTGTATAATTTTGTGTAACATTTTAGGTAGCAGAATTGCAAAATATAGCAAATCAAAAAATCACATTAGACGGACAAGTACTTGAGAAACAAGCCGAAAGGAGCAATAGTCCTGTTCAAACAAATATGAGTGACGAGAAGAATGAATCATTAGCACATAAACTTCCTCTGAATAATTTGTCATGCACTTTATGTAGGTGAAATAATTCTTATTTGTCATGTCTAATTTTTATTTACTATATCTATTATATTTAATATTTGGTATAGGCAAAGCAAAGTTTGCAACAAAGAAGACATTACATGTTCATATGAAAGTATTGCATACACCTCACCGCAAGTGTTACCTTTGTCCTTGTTGCACCAGTACATTTGCAAATACATGGAGTGTTCATAGACATTTATATAGAGGTAATTACAGAGTGCGCAAATAGATAGAAGTGTACTTTCAAAAACATGTTGACTAATTTACTTTTACAATTTTTTAACTATAGTTCATAGAAAGACCAATGAACAGGTGCGCAAATTGAGATTGCAAATTCAACAGAAAGTGTTGGACAGAGAAATAACTTCAGGAGGTTTAAGGAATACTCGCACAACTAAAGCTTCTGTTTGTAAAAAAGCAACAACGAAAGATTGTGATATATCTCAGGTAAATTTTCTAATCAGTACTTCTTGTGACAATTTTTTATCGTAAAAAATAGTACATTTTTAATCTAACAATTGCACCTTTTGTAGGGATCAGTAGATCATGTAGAATCTAATGTACAACTTAGAATCGGCAGCAAACGTAGAAAAAAAGTGAATAAAAAGAAAGCTTTATCTGCTGATTATGAAACATCAATCGCTGAACATGACGATATTACAATAAATAGTAGTCCATCTAGTGAAATCTCATTCTGTTCAACATCCAGTAATATTTTGTCTAAAACAGAAGATACGAATGCAATAATTGATACGATTATAGAATCACCTAATAAAACAGATATATTGGATGCAAAGTCTGACAAGTATACTTCTGACAAGTGCACATCTTCATCTTCTGAAAATGATGAAGAGACATCTATTTGTGTACAAGATTCTTGTAATAGAGAAGATTGGGATACACTAGAAGATAATTGTTCCTTTGAGTGTAATTCAATGCACAACAATAATGATCCTAGTACAATTAAATCATCAATGAAACAAGATATTAATAATAAGGAATCCCTGCTTTTTGGCAAAGATGAAGATCACCTTGTGTCCGACAAAGATTTACAATTATCTTTTACGGAGGATATAAAAGAAGGTGAAAATAGAAAATTGTCAAGCCAACACGATGAGAAGCAATTAACTGATGCGAAAGGTGAGAGACATTTAATTTGTCATCGTAATAAATTTTGTTTACGTGCATACAACACAGTGAGATAATGTTATTTGGATAAATAGAAAATGTATAATTTTTGATACACTATTAAGTTATCATATAAAATTCGTGTAATAATAATAATAATAAATAATTTTTGTAATTTCAGAGAGAAATGTCAAGAGTCCAGCCTTGCTAATAGAGAAGAAAATAGCTAAGATTGTAAACTTTGAAAAAGTGCGGTGCCTTCTGTGTAAACGAAAATTTACGTCTGTTCCCAATCTACGCAGGCATGTGGCAATGCACATTGGTTGGAATCGATATCGTTGCAAGTTGTGCGAATATAAGTGTTTCACAAAATGCGATTGTGTTCTGCATTGCAATAAAGCGCATAATGCGCAAAACAATCGCAAAATGCTAGCAGAAATGATAATCGAAATACCGCCGAATGAGTATACATACGACGAAGATATGATAGATGAACCCAATACAGGAGATAAAGTGGACGGCTCCGATGTGGACGTAATTAAATCTACCGACCAGTCAGAAATACATGCAGACTTAGACAATTTGGATGATTCAAATACAAGTGTTTTGCAAAGTAAAACTGCAAACGAGCAAGTTGTAGAATCACAAGAAACTACCGAACATCAAAACGTCGATGTGAGAGATCATGAAACAACAGTGACGGAAGATTGGATACACGATACGGAATACACGATGAATGATCAATCAGAAAAGTTAAATCCCGATCTTAAACGCATGATAATGGAGGTGATATTTGGTTCGACCGACACAAGTACGACAAAACAGACAGACGCCGATAAACCTGTGGTAGAATCTAGTACCGATGCAAGGGAACACGTAAATGCGAACGATAATGAAAATAGTAGTGCGTCTACCGACAATTCTAAAGAAGCATCTTGCGCTATACTAGACACTTCGAAACACCAACGTCCTATGCGTAATCGAATAAGGCCTTTAAATAATGATTTTATATACGACTTGGAAGAAATAGCTTCTAGAAAAGAAAGTGCCCTTTCTCACGATTATGCACCATTGCGAAAGAAAGCTAAGTTAAGCAAATAAACATTGGATTTTAATCGATTCTTATTTGAGAATACATTTTTTTTGTCATTTTGTCAGATGTTAAAATATAAAAGATAAATATTCAATAGAAAGATAGCTGAACAAATAAGTTAAGTTAAGGTGCTTAAAAAATACTTGATTATAATTTCACATTTAAGAATTGAAGAATGTTATTATGTTTTAAAAACGCAAAAAGAATGCAAGTTATTTTTTATTTTATGTAAAGCAGGATTTCAGATTTCAATATTTTTAGATAGGGATAATTTGAATGTAAGCTAACAAATAATGCAACGTGATAATACTATATGAAATGTATAAATATAATGTACAAGAGATATGTGTGTACGTATATTTTATGTACATTTCTGTACATTTTGTCAATTGATCTGGCAACTGTACAGCGACTGTTTGTAATAAGTATATCTGTGTTCAACATATTCATTGAATTTTTTAAAATACAATCTTTTTTATTAAGCTATTACCTTTATTATTTTGCTCATGTTTTCAATAGTGTTTTATGCAGCATAAATTTTTCACTGAATTATTAAAAAAAAAGTGGAAATGCAGGATAATTTACTAAGTTTTAATGCCATTAAAAAAAAAACAATTTTCGCAGTTATGTTAAGCAAGAAAAGTTAACATAAATATCGACGTTTATAAAACTATAATTTAAAATAAAAAAAGTTCTTTTGATAAATGTCGTATTTTTACTCATTAATTAACATTAAATGTATACTCATTTATTTTTATCTTCTTATTTCATTATTACTACAGTAAGTATGAAACAAAAGAATCTGTTATAGTTTTCCATGTAGAATTTATGGTATGAAATAATTTCCTTATAAGAAATAAAATTCAAAGCTAAGAACCGGTTGTTCCAACTTCTAGCTAGGTTTATCCGTCAGTTATTTATTAATAAATATCAGTAATCCTTACTCAATAGTTGGAATACCAAGTGAAATTACATCTTGGTAATAACGATAGAGGTAATTTTACTTGGTATTCCAATCACTGAGTAAAGATTACTAATATTTATTAATAAATAACTGACGGATAAACCTATCAAAAGTTGGAACAACCGGCCCTATTAAATTAAAAACCTACTCTCAATATATATTCTTTTCTTGTATTCTTATATTGTATTTTTCATTTTAACAAGATTGTTCCGATGTGTGCGGCTGCAGCCAAAAGTCCATTCAAATTTAATTCTATTATGCATAGCGCATGATTCGCTGGTTACATCAAAGCCAAGTAGAAAGACCCAGCATCAATGATAATAGAAAATCTGGCGTTTTAAGTAAAACAATTATGAATGTTTCACATGATTTTTGTCATCCGACGCACTCGATACCCAATAAGAAGAATTGTTTTCTAAAGACCAATGTCCACGATGCTAGAAATTGATCCAAGATTTTGATCCGAGAAACATATAGCCAATAAAATTGCCGTTTTTCCATAAAAACTGCAAGTTGATTGGTCATACATTTCTCGGATCGAGATCTTGGACCGATTTCTAGCATCGCGAACGTTGGTCTTAAGGCCAAAAATATGATTGCTAAAATTCCTAGAAAATGCATTTTTTTGATTGGATATCGATTACATGGGATGCTGTATAAACCTACCATTATTTGCTTTCTATAATATCGCCATCTACATTTCAGAATTAAAATTACGTATATTTATTTTTTGACACTGCCAGTAAACGATATCATTATTTCGCGCATGTCCGTTCGTGCTACTAATCAGATTTGCGATTGGCTCGCAGTAGGGCGGTACACTTGTCGCCGCGTTGCGCGGCGGCCCTTTCGCGCTGCGCTGCGCCGTGAACTGCGCCGCGTAGCGCGACTGTTCGCAGACGCGCGGCAAACGGCGCCAAGTGAGCGTAGTTGTTTCGTGATCGTACGGCGGGACGGTGCTCCTCGAGACGCGGCGCGAATGACGTTCAGTTGTAAACGCGGTCGCGAATCACTGATGAACGAGCTGTCGTAACGCGGTACTTCTCGCTCTTGTCCGGTGGTGTTATTTTGTGTGCACAGCTTCGCCGATCGTGTATCTAGTGCAACAGGGTTGCGACCTTGCCTTCAACATCAGCTGCCGGGGATCGAGCGTTTCGAACGGGTAAGTCGAAAAGATGAGAGGAGCATGAGAGAAAGATGGTGCGGGGGGGATGCGAGCGAGCAGATGGAAGGGCGCGGGAGGGAAGGATGGTGGCTCGAGCTTTCTCACGACGAAGGATGCATCCACCTTCCGGCGCCCCTCTTTGGGCTCACCCCGATTAGCTCCGTGGCAACCACGGGATGGCATTTTCGAGAGAAATACGTTGGCGCGGCATCTTTGGAAGCGCGCGTCGATACAGCGCTGCGTTCAGCTTGTCACTCTCGATAATTACATATTATTCAATGGGACTCGCGTATTATCATTGCTTCTTCTCTCGCGGGACGATTTGGTGGGAAATTTTTGCTCGCAAAATTCACAATTCCAAATATTACAAGTGTTGTCAAGTGATAGGCGACAATGTTACATCGAAATGTTTTGATTCGGCGTCTCTCCGAGCGCCGTGAAGGTCGCGGGCTAGCAACACGGATTGCGTATCGTACATGTGTTTCGCGAATGAAGTCTCCCTCCGCGCTGAAATTGATACTTCCGCACAATCACAGCAACTCCTCGAGCAATGGCTTATACGAGCAATTAATACCTCGCACCACTTGTTGCTGTTACTACCTGTAGACGGTGACATAAATGTACTCGACTTGGCGACCGTTGGTGCGTGTGTCGAAGAACGATATATATGTATATATATATATATATATATATTTATATATAGATCGACGAGAGAGGCGACTTGCATTTTTCTCGCTCGTCTTGTCGACTTCCTGCTACCCGGAGCAAACCGCGATTGCAAACTCGTGTTGTCTTGGCGAGTCTACTTGTGGGGAAGCTAATTAATAGCTGACGCATTGCAATTAATCAAGTAATTACCTTATTGCGAGGATAGCAAGTGAATCAAAGTGACCATAATAGAGGAGGAAAATGGTATTGTGCAAACTCATTTTGTTTTTAATTATCCTATAAATTTTTAACATTAGTTCCGTTGATTGCAAATAATATAATTGATATATGTATAATGTTTTTTCGTTTGAGATACATAAAAAATTCATAACAACTATTAGCTTTGAAATATTTTAAAAAATGCACGAAAAATATACACGCAAAAGTAATTTTTTAAATTGCTCTCGATTAGACTTTATTTTTGCAGAAATTCGAATTTAACGTTTAATTAGAAAAAAAGACAAATTTTATTCATTATTCGTAGCTTTGCATAAAATCATTTTTCTAATAAAGGAATCAGGTTATCAAAATTTTCGCATAAAATTACATTTATATGCGCATTGGCAATGCCATTACATATTAGTCGTCAATGTTGCGAGAGCAAGTGGATAGAAGTGGATCTGCCCAGGATCCCCCGCTGTAGCGAATGGGAATGACTCGCACGGGTTCTCATTCCCAAGTTAAACCCGCTTTCGCGCGCTGACGAAACGTAAACACACGCGTCCTCAGCTGCAAGTGGAAACATCATAACCCGGAATAGATATAATTAAATTACGGCCGTGACCGTAATCGTCGCAAAGGCGCAATATAGAGTCTTGTCGTTAATGAGAATCTCTAAAGAGCAGGCTTCTGACAAGGCGCTAATAAATTTCGAGCAATTAACGGATGAAAATCAGTTTTTTAAACACGGGAGTTTCAGAAATGCAAATAACGAAATGAAATCGTGCCTTTCAATGAATTTCAATTAGACTTTAGAAAATTTAAGGCTCATTATTAACAAAATGCAATGTCAAAGATTGGAGAATTGCAAGAAATGATCATTTTCCCAAGCACTTTCCACGGAGAACAAATCGGTTCCAAATTATTTCTCAGAAATCTCCAGCCATGAGAGAGATTTTCCGTTAATGGCAGGATACCCTATATAGCTGCGTAGTGTCTGCGCAAAATTTCTGCGCGGCTTTCCTTCGCAGCTTATGTAGGTCGAATCGCCTCCGAAGGGATAAATCATCGCGTTGCTTTACGAATCACGGTCACACAGATGTGATTATCGCTAATAATCTAATATTTCTCGCTCGAGGGCCACCGAAGTTCTTTATGTATGCTCGGATAAGTGATATTTAGGGTCAGACTTTTAATCCTGAAGTGGGTGTGTGTGTGTGTGTGTGTGTGTGTGTGACACATGTCACCCAAACATATTAGTGACGATGGCTCTCAGATATTCAGTGACAGAAACAGGTTATTAAGGCTCTCCTGCTTCCTCACTGCAGCCACGTTGAATTACGACGTCGACGAAAGAAAGATGTGAATTTTGTTCTCACACATCGAAATATATTAGTTTTTTTTTTATCGTGTGTTTTTATTCGCGTTTGACGGTACAAATTGACAACATATCTATATATGTCGTAAATTTTCGATTAACTTTACGACAATTGTCCAAAATTTGCAATCACTTATTAATCCGCAAATCGTGAAAATAGAGTTTAAGAAGATATATTTTATGAATCCAAACCATATGTATATCTCTCGAATGTGAATGGTGACATGCGAAGGGACTAATTTATTTCGACGTGGCGGGAAAAAAATTTGACACAATTTCCCGCTTCTGACGTCATAACGCAAAATGACTACAACGAGGGACCGGGAGGAGTCTTTAAGAGCCGGAGCGCGGATGCTGTTGCGTAATATTTCGGAGCTTGCGAATTATTTACATAATCTAAATATTTCGACCGCACTTCTCGGTGGCACGCACGAAAAATATGTTACCTGGCTTTTTTGTTTCATATCTTGCTTATATCGATGGAATGCGTAGCCTATTTGATCGCCGCTCAAGCGCTGTAATTTCATGCTCGACGAACGAACACAGAAGTTGACGTATTCGAGAGATACAAGATAAGCGTTATACCAACGAAAATAATGCCTGGTGTAAAACCGCGCGCGATCGTTCGACGATTAAACTACTAGAACCGCCAGAATATTTTTATGCCGATGAGTGTTTCTTTCCGCCCGTCTTGATTTACCTAACACGCGTGTAAAATATCATAAATGGATAGAGCGCAGATTTTTCTTTTATTTTCGCTTAATTTTTATTGCACCGTCGCTCAGAACCGAAATCACTCTTTCTCTCAATTATAAAGTCTAATAAAAGATAATGAAATGTTTTTACGAGCGAATGGATATGAGCCACGGTCGACGGTTCTAATGTTAACATCCTGTGTAACTACGTCTTGCAGTCGCGATAAACGTGGCATAAAAAGAATTGTTAATAACATTCTCTTATATACAGAGTTTAGCGAGGAAAGAATAGATAGTGAAAATATACAGAGCGTCCGAGGCCTTCATTTTAACGAAAGATTATCCGAACATTTTAGAATTCTTTTTTTTTCTCAGCGAGGTTGATTATCATTTATTTGAATAAGTTTCGTCAAACATAAAGTTCCATTAAAATCCGCTTGTAATTAGGTGAGGAATATAGTTCTCTTGTGTGTTTGTCCTTCTGAAGCACGGTTTGCGTGCGACTCGTTTGTTCATCGCTTATCGCCGGGCAATTATCGATGCCCTCGACGTCCTCGACGTCCTCGCCGAGGAAAAGTCAACTCC